TTTTATTCAAAAACAAAAACATCATCGCTTTCTCAAAATCACATAAAGTCATATTATAACATCGACTGAGATAAAGAATAAAATGAAATATTAAAAACACGATGTATCTCGCTGCATTGCGCGAGTACTCTTCTAGTATATATATATATATATATATATTCATTAATTTATGTAATTTATTAAATTATAATAATATAAATATTTTTATAACAAAACATATCATTAGAAAATTTTAGTTAAGACACCAAAATATAAAGTTTATATAATTTCCAATTTTTATTTTATATTATTTCTATATTATCTTATTATTTATTAATATTTAATAAATTACATACATTAACAAAATACATAAAACGTATAAAATAACATTTTAAAACGCTGAAGTGAAAGTTTAGAGATTTTAAAATGCAAATAATAAATTTTAAGAAACGGACAAAATGTAAAGAAAGAGACATATTTGATGTTCTATAAAAGAATTAAGTTTTATTTTAAAAGTATATTAATAAAATATAAATTTATTCTACCTTAATCCATAGAGTGCAATGATAATACGCATGTTCCACTTTGTTCCATTTTTTAAAACGATGAACTCATAAGTAATTTTACAGTTTAAATGACGGAGATTTAAAATTATGTGATTTAATGGATGTAAATCCATGTTGACTATCTTAAGTTTAACATAAGTGACATATAGTTTTTGATAGACTAAACAGTTATATAATAAGAGGATTCTTTGCAGATTCTGAGTGATAACAATCAATCAAGATATCTTTTGGTAGATATTCTCTCGAACAAAATATCTCACTTCAAACATCTTCCATTTGATTTATGAAATGGAAGTATCTCTGTTGAGTTGGTACGTTTGGTTGAATGGGTTTGGTCGGTGCGAGGGGGTTGTTGTTGAGGTGGGGGGTGAACGTCGTATGATGGTGTAAAATAAAAGGGTAGTTAAAAAAAGATGGTGGATCTGTTTGTGCTTTCCACCAACAAAAATCTATTTAGAAGGTTGTCGAATCTAGAAAAATAAGTCGAAGAGAAGGGACAAAAGTAGGTAACGATGGAATGGAAGGAACAAATGACAGCGATGGTTGCATAAAATACATTAGATTGTGTTATTTTGATATGTATTTTTTACCTACTCAAGTTGGATTTAGATTATGAACTTGATTAGTTAAAAAAACAAAATAATAAGAGATAGAAATTGGGTTAGGGGAGGACCAGTTGGGTATGCCATCCAGACTGATTTAAAACTAAGACCAGTTAAGAAAATAATTTTTTTTAGTGTGTCGACTTGTTAGGTCAAGACTACATAAAAAATATAATTAAAATAGTCATTTTTCAAGATTGGTTTCACCTCTTAGCCATGTTCTCCCCATTTTTAAAAAAATGGCCATAGATCCGTAACACACCAGGTGGGTAATTGCATATCCAACTAAATGATAAAAAAAAATTACACTTTCTACCCTATATGTAATATCCTAGGTCTGCAATTGCGAATCTGCCCCTAGACTTTAAAAGTTGTAATGTGTTGAAAACCCCATTATAATCAGGAGCTCGTTTGCACAGACTGTGGATATCTTCTTGCTTTGGTGAAAGATGGGAGTGTTATGATATCAGTGGATGACAAATGCGACCAATCGTTAATGATAAGCTTAAGGCATCCTTTCTCATCCACCGATCTCATAACTCTCCCATCTTTCACTAAGAAAGGACAAATCAAACAAGAGCCCCACCGTCTGTCCAAACGACCCATGTTAAGCATAAGGTTTTCAACACATTATAGATTAAGTTGCTTATTACCAAGATACACAGTAATTCAAATGGTACAATTACTGAACGTCTTCACATCATTTTTCAGGCTTTGTTGAAGAAAATAGGGTAGGTCCGAAATTAAACATGTATAAAACACCTGGAAAATGACAATTTGTTGAAAATTACGGAGGCCAAAGGTGAAATTTGCGGACCTGGTAGGAAGTGTAACTTTTGAAAGTCCAAGGGCAAATATGCAATTTCGACCTAAGATATTGCAAAGAGGGGTAGAAAGTGTAAAAAAATTGTCGTTTAGCTGGATCCGCAATCGATGACCTAGTGCTTTGCAAACCTATGTCTATTTAATCAAAATGGAAAGAACATGACTAAAAGGTGAAACCAACCTTGAAAAATAACTATATTTATCAGTCTCTCTTAAACTTAACATAAGTTTCTAATAAATTATAGATATTTTAAAACACTTTTTTTGCATTTAAAGAACAAAGGTGAAAAATAATTGTTTTGAAATTTTCAATTCAATTTTGATTTTGATTCTTAATTTTTTAAGACTTAAAATAATTAAATTCTAAAAACATGTAAAGATTTTTGTTGTAGTAAACTTATATATAAATATATAATTACTAAACTACCCTTACCATCCTTTACTTTCTTACAATTGGACATGACTTTGATTATAAATCTTTAACTTTTGAACGTCTTAATAATTATTTAAAAATAAAAAGCACATTCAAATGCCTCATTACATTATTAATCAAACTATATGCAACAGTTTGTCGTTTTTCTGTTAATACTGATAATCCCTTCCTTTTTGAGCAAATAAGGAGCCGTTAGGGTCTTAGGTACCCGTTCAATAGATTAGTAAAATCTTTTTTGTGATATGAAAGATGTACATGCTAAACTTTAAAGTTGTTTCGAGATATTAGAAAATACAAGAAATATCAACCAAAAGAAATTGAAAGGTCTCTCGAGAATCAACTAAAAGAATTAAAAAAAAAGTCTATCAAAATTAACCAAAAAACTTAAACAATCCATCAAAATAAACCAAAAACCTGATTTTCTCTCTCTTTAAAACGGTGAAATTCGGCTAAAAAAAACTTATCAGACAACTTTGCTCATCCTTTGATTCACGTTAAAAATGTATCCAGCTGACAAGAATTTTGAGTCCACTACTAATTACACGAATTACTTGAATACGTTTAGGTTTAGCCTCGACTACAGTAAAAATAAACAGAGGCGGATTTACTAAGATCGGGGTTCCATTGCACCTGTTCACTTGATTATCACAAGGGAAAAAAATTCCGCGTCGTAAAGGTACACCCCACTTGATTTTAAGATTGCTCTAAAATATCGTAAAATTGATTCAACAACAAAGATTTAAGCTCATGGGATGGTCATAGGATGCTTTGAATAAAGCATCTATATAGGAGATCTTAGGTTTAAATCCAATTTGCAGTAAATATGGTTATTTTTGGTTCACAATCAGAGAGCCAGTAGTTTTTATTGTTAACTCATATATCTTCTTGTAAATTAACATGTTTTTAATAATTAACTTTCCAAAAGATATGACTTGTTAGTGTTAATTTATTAAATCGATCTGTACTTCTTTTAATTTTGTTAGTTAATTTTAATGAAATCGTATTTTTATTTTTATAGAAAAATCACGAAGGTTTAAATGCGATGACTCCGGACTATCTACAAAACAGGTGGTCATTCTGAGATTAGTCGGCTCGTACAACGGGTTGGATATCGAGATTAATAAAAAAAAGTCACATATTTAAGAGAAAATAAAATAAAATTAAAGGGTAATTTGGTAATTCAACACAACTTTTCTCTTCTCTCCCTCTTTATATCTCCCTTTTTCTTCCCACTAATTGGTTGTACTTCAAAAGACACAATGAGACTCAACAGCAGTATCCAGCTACTGCTATGTCTCACAGTCTCAATACTCCTACTCACTGAGTCAACTCAACCACCGTACGCCTGTGACTCATCCAACGCCGCCACCAAATCATTCCCATTCTGCAAAACCACACTCCCCATCTCCGCCCGAGTCAGAGACCTCGTCTCCCGACTCACCCTCGACGAGAAGATCTCGCAACTCGTGAACACCGCGCCGGCGATTCCTCGACTCGGTATCCCCGCCTATGAGTGGTGGTCGGAGGCATTACACGGCGTTTCCAACTCCGGTTACGGTATCCATTTCGATGGCACTATCAAGTCCGCCACCAGTTTCCCTCAAGTTATCCTCACCGCCGCCTCTTTCGATGCCAGATTATGGTACCGAATCGGCCAGGTGAAGCGAGTCAACTCAGTATCGATTTTAATATCATTATTATCATATGGGGCTACGTTTACAACTCTTTGCTTCATCATACTTTTTATTTTTTAAATTCCAATAATTATATATAATTGAAAAACTTCTTTTTAGATTAAAATGTATTATTTTTTAGCTTTAAATTTTTTAATTATTTTTCTTAAAATACGTGCAAAATAAAGAAATACTTTGTCGTTTATAGAATGAAGAGATTATAATAGTTTTATCATTAAATAATAATTATCCTTATTTTTAAAAATTATAACATATTAATTTTATTAAATTTATTTAGATATGAACTATAATTAAAATACTATATATTTTTTAAGTGATTTATGAAATGTACCATTTGTTATTATTTTTGAAATTACATATTTGTCCTTGTGATCGTTTGAACTTTTGTAGAAAGACGGTTAATCTTATTATCAAAAGATTCAGTAGTTTAAACAAAAGTTAAATTTACATATTTGCCCTTCTCGTCGTTTCGACATACAATTTTTGCTTAATTTATTCTTGGTCCAAAAGTGTCCTAATGCTTGACCGGATACAAAACTTAATAAAAATGTTCGACTCAGATTGATAAACTAATTGTTGAATCTGTTGATAAAAAACTAACCGACAATTGTTGACAGATAAGCTGGTAAAAACGAGTTTTAATAAGATGTACTCATGCACTTTCTACTTGTAATCTTGAAGTTTAAGTAATATGCATCAATAAACAATACTTTATACATAAAAAATTGTTTTTAAGAGTTTTTGTCAAATATTTTATAATATAGTATAGATGATTATTATATTTGCAATAATTAGGCAATTGGATTGGAAGCAAGGGCAGTTTACAATGAAGGACAAGCCAAAGGGATGACATTTTGGGCACCCAATATCAATGTGTTTAGGGACCCAAGGTGGGGTAGAGGACAAGAGACACCTGGCGAAGACCCATTGGTTAGCGGCAAATATGCAATTTCTTATGTTAGAGGGGTCCAAGGTGACAATTTTGAAGGTGGAGGGATCAAAGATGGACATCTTCAAGCTTCTGCTTGTTGCAAACATTTCACTGCTTATGATTTGGATCATTGGAAAGGTGTCGATAGATTTGGTTATGATGCTAAGGTCAGTCTATTTTCATTTTACCTACCTTATGCTTTTGCTTGTGTCTGTTTTCACCCCCTTTAGTTTTATTCTATGCACTTTCACCCCCTTTAGTTTCATTCTATGCGCCTTCACTTGATAACTTCGATGGAGGAATTCTATCGTAAAAGTTGTATGTTGATATGCATTTGAACTTCTTATTTTGATAAACACTTATGCTATAGAGTCGTTACATTTAACGATGCTTTAAAAACTGTATTTCAAATCTTTTAGGAACACTTAAAATTTGTCTGATTGTTATTTTTTTTTTGATTAACCTGAATGTCCAATCCGCTATGCGAGCCGACTAATCCTAGGACGACCACCTGCTTTGCAGATAACTTGGAGTCACCGCATTTGAACTTTCGTGGCTATAAGAGAATTTTTATTTTTCCTTGGATTTGAACCTGAAACCTCCTGGTATTTTTGATCTTTGAAGCCAAGCTCAAACCAATCAGACACCGTCCTTGTGGTTTCTGACTGTTAATTTGAGCAGCCTATGAAAACCATTAATCTGATATGTACATAAATTAATCCAGACACTCGGAATTATTAAAAAAAATATTTTGAATTAAAAAACATATCAATTAAACAATTACATAAAGACAAACCAAAGAATATTTTAAATTTGAAAATAATACAAAATTGTTATTTTCAAGAAATGATTCTTTGTTTTCAAGATTTGTGCCTGAAATTTTTATTATTATTTTATTTTATTTATTTGGTATTTTAATGATTGATGCTTCTTTCTGGAATGCCATGTTTTGGGATGTTTGTTTTCTTCCTTTAGGTATAAAATAAAATCATTAATAGCCTTTTAAAAATGTAAATTAATAATATAAAATTTTGAAAAAAAAAACTATTAATATTTTAAAAATCATTTATATCATAGTATTTATATTATAAATATTAGAAGGGTACTCGCATTGTCGCAAAATGTAGCAAGATACATCTCGATTTTAATGTTTCATTTTTTTGTCTCGGTTGATGTTATAATACAATTTTATGTGGTTTTAAAAAAATGATAATGTTTTCATTTTTGAATAAGATACAAATATGAAGATATATCATAAAAAAATTAAAAAAATATTGATATTAATATCAAACTAACTATTTAAAATTTCTCATTTTTTTGTGTATTTTTTTAATTCTTCCTTTTTTTTTGGTTTAATAATATAAGTTTTATGAAGATAATAATTAAGTATTTTGTTAAAATTCAATAATTATCTTAATTATATTTTAGGTTTTTATATTTAAAATGAGATGATTATTCTCTATTTGATTATGTTTATCTACAGTTAATTACACGAATTCAACCATGAAAATTTAATAAGTTGTACTTACGTATAATTTACTTGTAATCTTGAATTTTAAGTAATATGCATAAATAAACAGTACTTCATGCATAAAAATGGTTTTTAAGAGTTTTTGTCAAATGCTTTATAATATAGTATAGATAATGCATTTTTAATTATTTATAATATTTATGAATATATAATATTTATTATAAATAAGTTATTATTAGCTGGTTGTTTCGGACTTTTAAAAGGTTTACGATTTTTAAATGAACCTATTTTGTATATAATGGAGAAAAAAATCAATGAGAACTATGAAAATACTGAGAATCGTGAATTAATACCTGATCATCCAATTAGTTTTATTTTGTTTTAGGGATTTAAGATGGTATTAATATTCATACATATGTGTATGTGTTTCATATGTAAAATAAACACTGTATATTTTATATGTAAACTGGTTTTCACGATCCTCAACATTATTCTGGTTCTCATTTAATTTGCATGTATATATTGTTTAGCTAGAAGAGCGTCACCATCATGTTATTAATTTGCATAAAAATGTAAAAAAAAAAAAACAGGTCACGAAACAAGATCTTGTGGACACATATCAACCACCCTTCCACAACTGCATACAACATGCCCAAGCTAGCGGAATCATGTGCGCCTACAATCGTGTGAACGGAGTCCCGAATTGCGCTGATTACAATCTCTTAACCAACATTGCTCGAAAGCAATGGGGTTTTCAAGGGTAAAAAAAGCCCTTTTTGTTTTATGAAAACTCCAATAGACGCGTAATCATTTATAAATTCAATAAATTGTACAAATTTATAAACTGATTTTCATGTGTTGTTTCATAAATGCAGTGTTTATAAAGTGTTGATTTATATGTGAAACTTTTAGTACTATTTTGTGTGTGAAAAAACAGTTCTGAACGTTTCACATATAAAACAACACTGTATTTTCATGCGTGTTGTTTCATATATGATACAACACATGAAAATTTGATTTATAAGTTTGTACAAATTATTGGGTTTGTAAAAGAAAAAGACACATAGTTGGATTAAGATTTTGGTTTCGGAAGTTTTCATACTAAAATTACCAATTTGTCCCTTGCTATTGTTATTACAAGTACTTTTGTCTTTTTATCAAATAGCATTTTGAATATTCAAAAGAGTTATATTTTACATAAGTGTTTATTTTTTTTCTTCTTATTTTTGATTTAATTACAAGATGAGGGCATTTTGGTAACTTCACATCTTTGTTCAGGTACATCACTTCAGATTGTGATGCAGTATCCATCATCTATGATGTTCATAAATATGCAAAAACACCAGAAGATGCTGTTGCTGAAGTGCTTAAAGCAGGTATGGTCTTTTGACTGCTTTTACTTTTAGCCCTTTAATTATATTATTTTGCAAAATGACCCCACTTTTGAACATACTTTGCATTTAAGGGATAACTTAACTTGACACTTGCGAAATCTTGTCAATTATGGTCAAATTGGAAAAAAAAAATTGACTATAAAGTAAAGAGTGTTGTCTAAAATGGGTAGTTTGGTCAATTTCCCTATTCTTTATCATACTGAAAGGCCACAAAGGTCCTCAATCAGATTAAAATAACCGGTCTTTTTTCATAGTATTCCATCTGATTAGAAGTCATAATGGTCAAGCAATGGGACCTCCAAAGTAAATCATATTAAATGGATGACACTTGATGTCTCGATCTATGAGTTCTTAAATATTCGCCCGTCACATAATTAATGATGTGAACAATGACAAATTTAAGATTCTTTGTTTAGGGGTTAATTGCTAATTTTATAGTTCAAAGGGAGTGAAGTGTAACATTCTGGGGTATTTGTGTAGTTTTGCTATGAATTTAAGTTGCTTTTAACATGAGATAAGCAAGATGACACAAATACCCCACCTTGCAGTTTCAGTGATTAGTCTATTTGCATTGTACTTATAGTTTTAAATGTTTCCATTTATTATTATTTTTTTAAATTTAAATTTCTTATTTATAAGATCCAATTTTCAAAATTATTGAGAAGCATGAGAAGCTATTATTGTTTCACATTATGAAACAATACATCTTTACAAGTTTTACATTGTGAAACACATGGGTGTGCAGAAAGTCATATGATCAAATTTAAACCGACCGACCATAATCAGATATCTAATTGTAATTGGATAGGATCCAAAATTTCAACATCCAAATTAGATTGTCGGTTTTTGGGTGACAGTTCAACATCCAATAAAACCAAACTGATCCAATCCAATTACCTTCCAATTCCCAATCAATTATCATACAATTAATATTTAATTAATAACTATATATAATCATCAACATTTTACGATATTGTTTTTTTGTTGATATTTATATGCATTGTTTTTTAATAGTTTAAGAAAATATATGAATACTTGGTTGAAATACTGGGTTAATCAGTTGAAAATTGAATTAAAATATTCGATGAATGTAATTCGATCCGATGGTTGGAACCGATCCGATCCGATCTAATCATCCATTGGATTGGATCAAATGTCCAATGTTTGTTGGATTGGATCGGATGACAAGAACCAACATCGATTGGATGATTGGATTCACCTGAATCTATTGGATTTCAACCGATCAACACCTTATTGAAACAAAGATATTGTGACATAGATATATCTCAAACAATATTTTGAATCCTAGTCGTGAATGAAATTTATTAAATGGTTCATATTGGCTTTTATGGGTTTTCAATATCCTTGAGGTTCTCGTATAATTATATCTATATCATATAAAATGCTATATATATTTGCATATATATATATATATATATATATATATATGGACCCATGTTCCTTTAATCAATAATTCACATATAAATCATTTCTTCATATGTTCTTAACCTCTCTGGCTTTTTTATTTGAACCTTCACGTACATATAAATACTGTATATATATAGACTAAGGTTATGGAGAAAACCACAAAAGAATGGTAAACCGAGGAACACCCTAATAACCATTCAGTTGTCTGGTATGTACATATATATAAAAGTAATTGAAATTAATTCCTACTTTCTATGTACATGTGCATTTTCTGCACATATATACACATGTTTATCGGTTTTATTTTTTTTATGGTTTTCTGTATATTAATTATGGACCATGTTTGTTGTTTGGTCCACCAGCTGAGTTAAAGTCAATATGGTAGTAGACATTTGGTCCATACACGTGAACCTTTCTTTTTGGACTTTTTTGAATCCACCATATACATGATGATGGTGGTGATGGATAAATGTACAGAGAGAGAATAATACAAAATCAAATCATTTTATTACAATTAAATGTATTTTGTGTTGATTTTTATTCTAAAAACCATCTTTATTTCATAGGTCATTTACTAACGTGAATTGGGTAAGTATTTATCGAGTAAGAATTACCACCACCGCTTATCTTATCAGATAAGATTCTCGGTCATGGCATAGTAAGATTGTTGGTAAACGTCTTTTATCCCGTAAACACTGACCGAGTAGGGGTCACTGTCCTCGTTTACTGGGTAAGATTTCGATAAGATAAGTGAGGGTGGTGACTAACTGTTATATGTTGTTTTAACTGGTTTTCTTGTTTTTTTGAAAAAAAATGACAGGCATGGATGTGGACTGTGGTTCTTACATGCAGAACCACACCAAATCAGCAGTTCAGAAGAAGAAAGTCCTTGAATCAGACATAGATAGAGCCCTATCCAACCTCTTCACCATGAGAATGAGACTTGGTTTGTTCAATGGCAACCCGGCCTCACTCCCATATGGCTCGATCGGTCCGAACCAGGTCTGCAGTAAAGCGCACCAGGACCTAGCCCTTGAGGCTGCAAGAAATGGCATTGTCCTTCTCAAGAACTCTGCTAAACTTCTCCCGTTCAAAAAGACCATCTCTTCGTTAGCCGTCATCGGTCCTAACGCCAACTCAGCGTATACGCTCGTGGGGAACTATGCCGGCCCACCATGCAAATCCATCGAGCCGCTAAAAGCACTTCAGAACTATGTGAAAAACACACAGTACATTAAAGGCTGTAACTTTGTTAACTGTACGTCTGCTTCTATTGATGAGGCGGTTAAGGTTGCGAAAAGTGTGGATTATGTGGTTTTGTTTATGGGGTTGGATCAGGGTCAAGAAAGAGAGAGTTTTGATCGGGTCGACTTGGTGCTTCCGGGGCAGCAACAGGCTCTGATCACTAGTGTGGCTAAGGCGGCTAAAAGACCGGTGGTTTTGGTGCTTGTTTGTGGCGGTCCGGTGGATATTTCATTCGCGAAACATGATCCGAAGATCGGTGGGATCTTGTGGGCTGGTTATCCTGGCGAATCCGGTGGCATTGCACTTGCCGAGATCATCTTTGGTGATCATAATCCAGGTAAAGTTCAAGAATTCTTTTCAAGATTCATAGCCTTTTTTCTAATTCTAGTTGATCAGGTCCCTTTGGTTAACATTTTCGTTCATGCTAGAAGTAAAGATTGAACCCATGACCCAGTGGTGCAACCCCGTCTTCAAGATCGAACCTTTTGTAGTTGTAGTCGTTTAGGTCCCTTTGGTTATCATTTTTGTTCATGGGTCATGTTTAGGAGAAATAAAGATTCGACCCATGACGCAATGGTGCAACCCCGTCTTGCAAGACCGAACCTTTTGCAGTGATTTTCTTTCGTGGATCCCTTTACAAACTAACAATGAACCCGAACTTGCCTTTGCAGGAGGGAAGCTACCTATAACATGGTACCCTAAAGAATTCGTCAAGATCCCGATGACAGATATGAGAATGAGACCGGAACCATCTTCAGGCTATCCGGGACGTACATATCGATTCTACACCGGCCGAAAAGTTTATCAGTTCGGCTACGGGCTCAGCTATTCAAAATACACATACGATTTTGTATCTGTTACACAAAACAAACTCTCTTTAAGTCAAATTTCAGGCACTGGTTCCACACTTCAGAACTCGGAATCAGTTCATTATACATCTGTTGTCGATATGGAAACCGAATCATGTGAAAAGGCCAAGTTTTCGGCAACTGTGGGAGTCCAAAATCACGGGGAAATGGATGGAAAACACGCAGTTTTGCTGTTTGTGAAGCACGATAAAGCTGGAAATGGGAAGCCGATGAAGCAATTGGCAGCGTTTGAGAGTGTGAAAACGGGTAGTGGAGAAAGGGTCGAAGTTGAGTTCGTTGTGAGCCCGTGTGAGCATTTTGGGACAGCGAATGAAGACGGGCTGATGGTGATCGAAGAGGGTTCTCGTTATCTTGTTGTCGGGGATCAACAATACGCTATTACCGTTTTGCCATAGTTCGTCGAACGATTCCGTTTTCGTAATATTCGGACTATGATTTTGTTGTTGAACTATGAAATCAATGAATTTCTAAATCATTACCACATCAAAAGATGTTGGTTTCTGAATTATGGTTTATCAATAAGTTTGATATTACTCGCTAAAAGAGTGCTTAAAAAGAGGTTTTAGGCAGCTAGATATTGTTTAAGAGTGTCTAGAAGGGGTTAGACAGATATAAATTGCCAAGAACGTTTCTACAGTTGTAGACTTGGCTCTTATACAATATGAGAATATATAAATACCCATTAGATTATTTTTCAAAAGACTCTTTGAGTAAATAAGAGGAAGTTCATATATATATATATATATATATATATATATATATATATATATATATATATATATAAAGAGAGAGAGAGAGGGGGGGAGAGAACCAGAGAAATGATTCAAATCTAACTGATGTGACACTCTAAATATTCAACATGTGTTTCAATACAAGAACATGACGTAGTATCCTAAGAAGTAACATGGCTAGTTAGATCTTAGTATACTTGCACAAACATGTGAAGATTTGAGTTTGACAGACAAATGCATTAGTTTCAGTTCCTTTGAAGATTGGGTTTCTTGTAGATATATATTGTGCTCTAATGCCACCTACAGTACAGTCGTGAATAATGGTAGAACACCATAAGGGCCTTTGGGGGCCACGAGATCATCGCCACCCTGTTTTTTTGACTCAAATACAATATACGAACTTTCAAGGACATATATGATGGACAGTTCAATTGGTTATCATCTTCCGTTCACCGTAATTGAGGTCATTGTTTTAAATATCTTACCTTGCATTTAGCCATTTTCTGATATTTTTCCTCCCCATCCACTGGGTATTAAATTATTAATATCAATTATATCTAAAAATTAGTTTTTTTTTTTTTTTGTAATATTATATTTCTGCCCCCACAAACTACAACGGTCATGTTCCGCCTCCAAATCTGTACTTAATTCGTGTCTCACATAATCCTCTTAAGATGGTATGGGATGGCGGAGTTTGCTTGTTACAAACCATTTTTCGCATTAGTCGATTGGGGATGTGTTTGGAACTTTGGATATCCATTTTAAAAAGTGATTATTGCGATACTCTGAAGTGATTTTACATTTATCTTTAAAAATCAGTCTTTTTGCAACAACTTCTTATCTGTTTTTCAAAATCTGATTACTTTGGCCCCTAGAGAACTACAAATAAAATCTGATTTGTCAAGTGCTGCAAAGATGATTATCAAGTCGTAATAATCAAACTTACAACACATATACGACTACTTTCTTCTTGAGTCGTGTTAGGTTGTCTAACGCCGTCCTAACAACCTACTCTTTTGTAAGAATATAACTTGTTACATTACCAAACTTTTTCGTAAACATTGAACAACTTATTGTGACGTCTTTGTATGAAACATACATAGTTACTTACAAAAAATTATGTTAATTTTTGTAGCCAAAATGATTAATGAAAAATCTGTTTGTTTTGGAGTTTGACGAATGAAACCAAGTTACGCTTCGTCATTGATGTGTCGAGAAATAAATACGATACATTTAAAACGTGTCATGATATAGTTTTTTTTTTTGTGTGGATGTAGTGAGAAAAGACAAGATGTGAATACAGAAAGATTAAAGTTTTTATATGATTCTTCGTAAACGTGTTTTAGGAAGGTTTAAATAGTCTATTATAGTTTTCTTGACGTCTGAATGCTGGGTTTTGTATCAATCAGTTACTGTGGAAGTGTATAAAGATTTATTTATTTACATTTTATGAAAAGCATGTTGATATAAGTATATAAATCATTGTTATATAAATAATTTTATGGATCCAAGGAAGATTATTCAAACAAATTATAGAAAAAATTAACAATGAAATTGAACTAAAATTTTTATGAGTCAAACCTTATTTCTTTAGGATAAAACACACACACACACACACACACACACACACACACATATATATATATATATATATATATATATATATAACATAAAAAACAAGATTCTTGTAACTTTATGGATTCATACGACCCTACAAATCAAAAGCCTAAATCCGCCTCTGCTTATTGATAAGCAACTCTATTTATTTTCGTCCCATAGGTTTGATTTTTTTTTACTTTAGTTGATTTAAATGACGGGTTCGTCAAATTACTATGATGATTTTTTATTTATTAAAAAGGTCAGTAAGTCGTAGTCTAACAAAATAATGTACGCATTTGAAGAAACGATGAAAGTCATGCAAACCAAAAGGAACAAAGTAAAAAAGTTACAGTATTAAGTCACAAGTAAGATGCCGACAGGTAGTCCTAATAAGAGTAAAGTAAAAATCTATGAGAACATAAACATAAACAACCGTCGGTAGAAAAATACATTATGACAGAACTTTTATGAAAATCCATATGCAAATTTCTTTACATTTGAGATTAATCTTTGTAATTTAGTAAGCAAAGGTATGTTATCTACCCTTGATAAAAGGAATGAAATCAATGGACTCCTTAAAAGTTGGAAGCAAATCCAATGGACCTTTCTTGTGCAAAAACCTTTGGCTAAAAATTGACAACTTTTAAACTTTTTTAACAATAGGGACTGAAATGACAAGTTTATAAACTTATTGGGCTTTAGTGTAAATATATAAAACTTTCAATTTCATTGTATAGTTTTATCAAAAAGACTGTAAACGAATCGAACGAATACGAACGGAGGTTTGTCATGTTCGTTCGTTTAACTTAACCGAATAAATGAACGAACATGAACGGTAAACAAACGAAAATCTTTGTGTTCATGTTCGTTCGTTTAGAAATCAGGTGTGTTTGTGTTTGTTTATGTTCGTTCGTTAACATGCTAAACAAACGAACATGAACGAACGAGCTAAACGAACATAAATAAATATTATTTGAATTCAAAGTAAATAAATAAAAGACTATATATTAAATTTAATATATAAACAAACAAATATAAACGGACGGTAAATGAACGGATGTTCACGAACATAAATAAACGAACGAGACTCTTGTTCACGTTCGTTCGTTTATTAAACGAACATGAAAATTGTTCATGTTCGTTCATTTATTAAATAAACGAACATAAATGAACTTACGGCCAAACGGTTCACGAACAGTTCGTTGAACGTTCAGTTCGTTTACAGTTCTATGTATTAAGGATCACAGGGAGCTTTTCTGAAAAAGTGTGGTCAAAATGGAACCTTTATGAATTATAGGGACTGAAAATAACAAGTTTTAAACTTATTGAGCTTTTCTGTGAATATGTGAAAATTTCAATTTCATGGTATATAATTCAATCGTAACTCACGCCACGCTTGGATTCTATTCCGCTTACTTCGAGTTGTGTGATCGTGATTGATGATCGATTTTCTCGGAGAAAGCTTCATTTTGATCGCATAGAACTTTCAATTGTTGTGGAAAATTCTAGTAAGCGTTGGTCAGATTAATTCCTCATTTTGAATTAGGGTTTCATGAGATTCGTTTTTCAGTTCAAAGGTAATTGCTTGATTTCTCCTTGAATTAGTTTTGTGCATATCTTTATCAAGGTTGAGGTTTGGTTAAAAGATGGGGAAAAGCGGCAATGATGCAACAATCGGGGCAAACTGCAAGAAGTACGGTGTTCCCTTCTATGGTGCTTCCTTTGTCCCTCGCAACGCCATCAAATCGTCTGACACAGAACCCCAGGGTGAAGATGAGGTTGTTGGTGGTGGATCTCACCATGTGATTTTCGCCGGAGGGGGTGGCGAAGGTCGGAGTGGCATCCCTAATGCTCTCATCATCTCCCACTTTGATCCTGCTTCCAATTACCTTTCTGATCAACCTGTGAGTCCCCATTTTCCCAATAATTTTGTTTCTTAAGAGATACATTATATTTATATGCCGATATATAACAAAAAGATCACAGGGAAGTTCTCACATTTTGACGACATTCTAGGAGATTTGAGCAAACAAAGCAAAAATTAAATAATTTGGATCAGTTGCTATGAGAGCAGTGTGCAATGTTTTTTTTTTTGTAACAGAATAAGAATGAATAAATGGTAATTGTAGTTCATTTTTCTTAAGATGATGATACACCATGTTGAATTGAAGAATTACTTGGATTCTTACCTTCCAAAGTTGTCCTGACGCATGAAGTTTACTTCTAAATTGTATTGTATGGTAGGATGTTGGCAACTAATATTGGAAATTCAAGTTAAAAACTAAGCATTGTCTTCAGTGACGAATGCAAAGTCCTGGACGCCAATGTGCCCACCTGGCCATCTTAACCACCTAAACGCCCATAATCATGGTGGATAGCTAGAAATTCATCAAGTAAGCCCAGGATCTATAACGAGTTCAAATGCCTTAATAGCACGTTGTTGTGAAATTGTCCCCATTTTAAGTCCTTGTTTTTAAGATACCAAACAATCTCTAAACATGATATTCTCGATTTGGGTCATAACCACCTAAACATCATCTCTAAACAAGGTTTGGAGGGTAGTGCAACCAGACATGGGTATAATCCTGAAGGTCGGATGTGGCAAAATGTAAAAATGGAATCAACACCAAGAATAAGTGCATTCATATATTCGGATGAACCAGCATACTTACTAGTTGCATCAAATGGTACTTCATTATGAATTTATGATTCATAGGAAGTTGTGGAAACAAAGAATAATAATTATCAAAAGCAAGAATAGTTGTTCGCTGGGATTGCTTCTCTATGTGTATTATATGCTAAAACACATAACTTCTATGTGTGTTAAGACATGGACTTCTGCAATACTGCTCACTATTGCATGTGTCACGGTCAACGCAACGGTGATGCACTTCCAAAATCGCGCCTAAGGGATTGTATGATCGAAGGATTATCAAACCAACTTGAGGTGATTTAGTATAAATATAATGAAATTGAACTACTATGAAGGTTCTGAAGGAAGAACGTTTAACCAAATAACATTTAGCAATTGTTGGCCACACTCATAAATACTATTACCATCTGTCACCTTGGATCATATCTGAAGGTGTCTTTATCCCATTAACGAAATCAATATTATGCAAGTGGATAATTAGATAAACTACTGAGGCCCTTAACTAATTCAAATGAAGTATTAAGTTCAAATGAACATACAACTTTTAGAAACTGAAAGTCGAAACTAAGATAGGAGGCACCATACGGGGGTCATAAAAATTAGATGGACCAGTAAGTCATACCTATTTTCTGTTACATAAAAGTAGCCTGATAAACAACAGAATTTACATATTATCGCAATAGGACTTGAAGGATGGAAGGCAGAAGGGGAATTGACTAAACTAGCTATTTTGAGCGAACTTCTTCAATTTTTAGCCCACTTTTTTCCTGTATGAACCAAAATAGCCAAGATTTTGCAAATGTCCATTTCACAACTTGCAAAATGTACTTCTTATGAATTAAATATGATTCGGGTGGGCCATTTGGCAAGCCACTAAGGAGATTTCACAAGCCAAAAGGACATTTTGCAAGTATCCACAGCTATTTTGCAAGCCGACCCCACTAGAATCATAGTTAATTCAGAAAAATTCATTTCGCAAGTTGCGAAATGGGCACTTGCTAAATCTTGTCTATTTTGGTCCTATAAAAAATGGGCTAAAAAGTGAAAGAGGTTTGTCCGAAATGGAGTTTGGTCAATTTCCTTGGAAATAACATGGCGTGTCAAACCATCCTCCAGGTGTAGCCATCTTGTTCTTGATTTGTGATGTGATGCTTTTGGATGCCTTGCTTTTTGCCCAACTACATGATTAAAGAGCTGTTTTTAATCTCTATGAAGGCCCTTTATATTATGCTGTAATGATACCTGGTGTTTAACATGCATCCCACATGATAGGACTTGATGAGATGTAGTATCACATGTTTAGGAATCCTTGGTTGTAGTCCAACGGCTTCTGGAGTCCACTTGGGATAGTATTATGGCTATTCTTGTAGTTTGGGACATTGCTTGATAGCTCTCCTGCCCTAGGTATGTGGCTTCTCATTCCAAACAATCTTCCAAATTAAGTTCTTGCATAGCAAGGTTCAGGCCTATACCTTGGTGCTAGGTCTATGTTGTAGTGTTCCTGCAAATTCCAACTCTGTGCCACTTGGCATACGTCTAAAGCAGGTCTATGCTTCCTTCCATAATGTTTGCTCTTTCCGGCTACGTGTGGGTGGGCCTGTGCCTTGAGGCTGAGGCCTGCGTTTTTGGTCAAAGTCCAACATTTTTGTCAAGCTTTCTTGATTTTCGTGTATTTACGCTTTTACCTCAAATGCCCACCTTGTCATCTCAGTAGTACTTGAGATAACATACGGCTGAATGCACATTGTCAGTTGATCTTTTCTCTCTTTTCCACCGTATTCGGTATTCCCCCCGATTACTATCATGTACCTCTTGTGATCTATAAAATCTTTATGTTAACCGCATATATTTATATGAGCTCATTAACAAGCTGAAAATAAATCCTAATAATTGTTTATTAAAAACTCTATGCGTGATTTTTCATTGCATAATAGATTAACATAATTACATGACTCAAGCACCCGAGGAACACCCTCATATGAGGTTTATCTGATTGTGCATCTATGACCACTATTAATTTGAGAGGTGTTGCAAGGTGTATGCCAAGTAAATTTTGTGTAATCTAAGAATGGTACAAGTACCATGAGATAGTATGAATGATCTATGCCTTGGAGCTTGTAATTTAACTCCAAATGCCCATCTGCTAATTGGTTCGAGTATTGAAGGTTAGCATCGAACATAGTCATGACATGCTTTATAGTGTTAGCTTAGATGGCTGTAATTACAACGGAATCATGCTCCATGGTAATTGCTTGAGTATGAGGAGATTTGATCAACCTGTTGGAGAGGGTGGGGGGAAGTGGTCCTCAGAGGGATTCAGAAACAACAGAACACAAGACACTACTTCAATGATTACTTGAGAATTATGCTTGGTTTATACTTAACCTGGGCCTACAAACCACCCTTTTGTGTGTGCAAGATACACATGATCCAACAAAACATTCTCTTATTTACTAAATACTCCAGTATTCCTTTTCAGTTTTCACATTGGTTCATCTATAGGAAAATAACTTGCTCTTGCTTAACGGCTCTGCATATCAGTAACAAATATTTTCCCAGCTTCGTCATTTTACAAATTAGCCCCTTCTTATCGCAGGTGAACAAGCTTGAAACTGGTGATGATCTTCCATACAGAATGGCTGTCCACCCAGGAGGTGAAGGTGTAATATGTTCACTTCCAAAGAGTTGTAGGTAATTTCGAATCAAGTCAGGTTTTGATATTCAGTAACTGATATGATAACATATGTTTTCTTGGATAGAGGAGATTTGAGAGTAGCACACTTGATAGTGCAGTCTCTATTGTGTCAGATGCCTTCACAATATGAAATTAGTGATTGCAAACACCAAAACATATGCATGCTTGTATTGGTATATGTTTGGAAATCTTTTCATTGAATTATATAATTCTCTACTTTAAAGTTGTGGAAGGTTTATTTGATGATGCTTTTCATATACATCATTGAAGCATTATTTGCTTTGGTTTCCATCCATCTTGGTGGCATGAATGTGAAGTTGGGATACCGAACAGACAATAATCACAGAAGCAAAAACACAGAGAATATGAAAGTTAAACAGCACATAATCAAACACGGAAATTAACGTGGTTCAATCAAGAATTAACCTACGTACATGGCTGCAGTAGCCAGTCACTTTTTATTAATTCGGTTTAGGGCTTGCTTACAGCTATAAGGATGAGAATATTTATAGTGGAGAATGGGCCGAAAAGTTTGTTCCCTGTGACTCCTGCAAGCGTTACAAACAAACGTCAGGCAGTCATTGGGCTTCACTACTCAACAGGGTGTCATGACTGTGTGTACAACAAACTACAAAGTATACTCCCCTCTTTTTGGGGAAGAAGATTTCCGTAAGATGTTAGTGCTCATGTAGCATGATTGTGCCTAAATAATTATAGCAGGGAACTTATTGTTAAAGGTTGTTTTGATTTAGCCCATGTGACCCAAATGTGTGCATCATGAAGTAGACTCCATAACTTTCAGAAAGAATAATGCCTAATCTGCATGTCTTTTTATTTCTTCTTCCATCTTACTTGACAGTAAAGTGAAATTACCATCAGTAACAGCTGTTTTTTGTTTTGTTTCATTATATATCATCATATAGATTCTGAGAATCAGAAAATCAACCACTGCCATCACATCATACCATCACTCCAATGTTAAGCATGATATACATTGTTGTGATTTTGTGGCATCTCCTAAACTTAATTTAAGATGGGTTGGTTAATTAGAATGCACAATGTGGTAAATTTATCAAAAGGACTAGGCGACTAGCCAGCATTCTTCCATTGAAGGTACAAGTAGCACTTTCTCATTATTTCAATGTGCGAGGTTACATCTAAGCACCATACTGGTTTGTGGTCAGTAAAGTAGAGGGCAAGAATGAAGTTCAAATTAGTCTGTTTAATAGCCTTCCAGGTTTGTTTATTAGCTTACTTAGGTAATGTACAGTAACGTGTCTAACTTTTGGTCTGTAGATGGTTTGAGTGGGAAGCAACCAAGAAAGAAGACGTCTCCACGTTGGGTCTAAAGCAGTCTGAGAAAGTCCTTTACCAATTGGAACTTATTGAACAGCAGTTGGCAGTTACTTTTAGCCGTGATGGTTCTTTACTTGCTGTAGGCGGTGAGGTAGGGCTCATCTTTCTCATACCCAGAATCTCAATTCAGCTTAATTGAGTTTATGTTCCATTCAGTTCTACATGGCTACATGATCATTATGTTCTAATTTTTTTTGCATTTGTCTGGAGATTCCAAAGGAGCTCCTTAAGAAAATGAATTCTGAACTGAGCTGCTGCTTGCTTTTTTGGCTTCCTTTATGGAAGGGGATTGGAACCTACATACATTATAGTTTAGGAGACTTGACATCTCTCGTTGTCTTGAATGTTTATACATGAACAGTTCCAATCACATGGCAACATTGTCATTCTTGGGCCTTGTTTATTTTTGGAATCCTTTATCTCAATATTCGAGAGGTGAATTAGCATAAGGTTGGGGTGTAACTGGTTGTGGGGAAGCTCGGGATTGTTTGACTTTGAAGTGTATGATCATTTTAAGTTCATTATAAGAGGCAACTTGTATTACTCGGAGGTCATCAGGAGAGGTATAGGTCTGCCAAGATTGACATGGGGGGAATTATGAAGAGAGATCTGCATGAGTATGAGATAAAAGGCTTTGGGTTGCAGAGGTTTACGGTTTTTTCTTTTGTTTTAGTCTACACAAACTAGTATGAGGCTGCTTCTTGTTCTAACTTTATGAATGTTCTTTCTAATAGGATTCTGAGTAATATACTGATAAACTTTATCAAATTTTTATGAAAACATAATCCGTAGAAAAGCATTTTAGGTGCATATATATATATATATATATATATATATATATATGTCCTTTTTTGTGGATCATTTTGTGGTTTTTAACTATCCAGTTATGGTGCAGTGCAGGATGGTAAGTTGAGGGCATTTAAGTGGCCTAGCATGGAATCACTTCTTGATGTACCTGGTGCTCATGCCTCTGTGAAGAATTTAGATTTCAGGTTCTTGATAAATGCTACACGAGGCTGAATTCATACTTGTATAGTCAAAACTTACTGATATTATTGGTTGTTAATCTGTCTTACAGCCCTGATGGGAAATTTCTCGTATCTGTTGGAAGTGGTGGCCCTGGTAGAGTTTGGGATATTTTAACATCAACGAATAAAGCTTCTTTAGCGAAAGAAAAAGTAAGAAGGAATCCCTAAGCACATCTATGACAAATGTTTACAAGTCTAATCTCAAGGTCTCTGCAAGTGATGTTTTCCAATTGATCTTAATATGAAACTAACTTCATTCCTTGTCCCTTTCAGGATGAAGTTTTTGGATTTTGCAGGTTTTCGCAAAATAGCATGAATGATCAAGTATTATATGTCACTGCAATGCGAGGTGCATGTCTACTGTTCCACATTCTCAGCTTTATGCTTTCAGTTTTATTTTTCAATTCCCCATTTACTTTTATTAGTCATCTTTCTGGTCTAGTTAACGGATCATTTTGGACTATTTTCAACTTGACTAGATCGAGGAGGAAGTATTGTGAAGTGGAACACTACGACATGGAAGCGTATGAGCTCAAAGTACATTGTTCGAGACCCAATTTCTGCCTTCAATATATCGGATGATGGGAAGTTTCTTGCCATGTGAGGGTCGATTTGCTTTTCTTGAAATTTATTTTATACGCTTCTTTATGTCCAGAAAAGATGCGCAATTAGACAATTCGCGTAACATAGTTATACATTTCTTAAAGTTCTTTTGTGCTTCTTTAAAATAACTAATTTTCTTGAGATTGGCAGTGGTACAATCCAAGGGGACATTTACATATTGAATGCTAGTAATATAAAGGTGCATACTGTAGTCAAAAAAGCACATCTGGGCCTTGTAACGGCATTAGCGTTCTCGCACGACTCAAGGTTTGCTCCCTTTCTATAATTCTGTCAATCTAGAGCTTTTCTGTGCTCTTTTTATGCCATATCTTGATGAAGTTTGTTGTTTTGATACAGAGCTCTGGCGTCGGCTTCTCTGGACTCAAGTGCAAGGGTGACACAAATTAAAGAAATCAAGAAAAATGGTACAAATTATCCTCACCTTATAGGCTGTTGTCATATCCAATATTCAATGTTTAAGCAACACATAGAGGCTGTTTACTGGGTAAGTGCTTACCATGTGTCACTTACCTTCTGAGTGAGCATTGTAAGGACCTAGAATCTTACCCGGTAAGTGCTTACCGGGTAAAAGAACACTTACTAACAATCCGTTTTGATGGTCAAGAATGTTACACGATAATGTAAGTGATGATGGTGATCTTGCTAGTAAGTTCTTACCTGGTAAACGTTTGGTAAATGGCCCCATAGTCGAGTGGAAGTGTTTGACTATTAATCAAATATCTAACGTACCCCCAGGTAGTCAATATCATTACTAATGACGAATTCGTTTAGAACTTGGCCAGATAAGGAAGGGAAATGTTGTACCCCCTCTGTCACAAAACAAGTGTCCATATTCTTATTTTAGTTTGTTCCAAAATAAGTGTACGCTTTCAAAAGTAAGTATCTGCTTTCCAATTTTATCCAGGAGAAATTCATAACTTCCTATTATTAAGGGTAAAATTATCAATTATTTAGTTTTAAAGTGTAACAGCTACACATTTCTAAAACTGTATGTTTTGTTTTTTCTTTGTGGACATTTATTTTAGGACCGAGGGAGCATTTTGACTCAAACTCAAAGGGATATGTTATTTGAAAATATGAACATCTCAAAACTGTGACCAAACTCTGATGTGAAATGTCGTTTTTACCCTCTCTTACTGCTAAATCATCTGGTTTTCTTTTACTCCCTCCGTTGCAAATAAATGTCCACAATGAATAAACATATAGTTTTAGAAATCGTAATTATTACACTTTTTAACTAACCAAATGAGTAATGTGGAGAGAGATGATTTCACCATAATTAAGGCTAAATTTGGAAAGTAGACACCTAATTTTGGACAAACTAAAATAGAAATATGAACGGGTATTTTCTAATTAAATAGTTATATTTGATTTTGTTTAACTTTATAATACTTTGTTTGCAGGATTTAACATATGGATCATACTATTGATGATTTTAGTTGCAGCAACTTTATATTATGCCAAAACAGAGGGTTATTTTGTATAAAACATCCCAACTTTATTTTGAGACGAAATTCGTCACCTGTACCTTGGGTAACGATACCCGTATGTATGTGTTATATTTAGATATATATCCTTAAACGAGATTTTATGACCGTTCAAATGAGTTTGAAGCACTTTTTCTTGATTACAATCTCATTTAGATTTATATACCTAAATATGTATACCATGTAGGAAAATGATATGTGAATCTTGAATGAATTAAGCTCTGCTTCTTGTGCTGATTTTTGCAAGTAAAAGCTTGCTTTAAGCCCTATATTTATAGATATGAATCTAATTCCAAATACCACAAAATCTTTTTTTTTATTAACCTGGATATTCAACCCGTTATGCGAGTCGACTAATCCAAGGACGATCACCTGCTTTGCAGATAGCCCGGTGTTACCGCATTTGACCTTTGTGGCCACAAGGGGATTTTTATTCCTCCTTGGATTTGAACTTGTGACCTCTTGGTACTTTTGATCTTTAAAGCCAAGCTCATACCAATCAAACATCACCCTTGTAGTTAAAATCTTACAAACTATATATTGAAAATTGTAAAACTACATTTTAACCCAGGGTCATCAAAATAGTTTTTGTTCTTGGAGCATAGGTAAAGTATGAATATTGTACTTGTCTCAAATACTGTTGTGTGAGATTTATTTGGTTTGTTTACTTATTTTATAGAAAGAACAAATTGTATGAAGAAGTAATATACTTTTAACTTGATTTTTATTCTGGGTAATGTACTTTCGAAACTTTCATTTTGGTACCTAAGATGTAAAATTTTAAACATTTAAGTACTCAGGTCACTGGTTGAAGCATTAACATGTTAGATTAAGATATCTATGTCAGCAAATAATATTGAGTTGAATACCACATCACTCGTCACATCAGCATGATAACCGGTTAATGCTTCAACTTGTTACCCGGATACTTAAATGTTTAAAACTTTACATCATAGGTACTAAAATGGAAGTTTTGAAAGCATGTTATCTAAAATAAGAATTACGTTAAAGTACGTTACTTTTTCATGCAACTTGTGCCTATAAAAGCTGTAAAACTATCTTATGTTAGATAAGCCACCATCTTAAATTTAGTTGCAAATAGAATTGTTGACATAGGGTCATGATTACATTTTTTTTTTCATGCCATAAATAAGACTCATCAATGCATGAAATGGAAATGAATTTTAATCAAGTGTAACAAATACATAATGTTTATTTATCAATTTTCTAGATTGTTTTTGGGTGAAAAGTTGATTACCCATAGTTTCAATCGGCTTCATATGAAACCCGCCTCCAAAAACACCAATGTAAGGGATCGTTTGTCGGCTCACTCAGTGGCTGGGACAGTGAAACTAGCAGTGGGCTGGATCGAATCCATAATTTGTCTTGTATTTAGGCAAAGTCGTATTTGTCAACTGAATTACATGCTAGAGACCATTTTTAGCGTTGTTTGAAGTAAATTTGATATAAGTGACATCAATTTTATCAATAGATGAACTATTCTTTGTTTTTTGTTGTTCAAATCTATAAATGACGCAATCACGATAGTTTGTCAACATGCTTTTTCCCATAAATTTATAATCAGAGTAACTTTTATTAATTAGTAATATATGAAAATTACATAATTTAATCATTTGGGTTATGGTGAACTGGTTAAGTTTCAATGGTATGTTCATCTACCCCTGGTTCGAATCCAAGTGCTGCCAAAACCCTTATGATCATGGAAATTCACCTGCGATGACTCCAAGTCATTCTTAATCGCCAGGAGATTAATCGGTGTGCATAATCTGACCCGAAAACCCACGATTACAATTTTTTTTACATAATTTTACAATCTAAAATAAACCACACATCTTTGGGAAACAAAAACCATATAACAACAACCAACCATTGTATTTATATTTAAATTCAAAATATTTGAATTTAAGCATATGTAATGTATGATGATTACATGATCCCATAATAAATTCCTAATTTTTAGTTAAATGTTGCTTAATATCATCATCCATATTTAAAATGATTTTTTTATTAAACAAATTTAAAATTGGGGCCAAAATATGAACATTAAAGCTTGGAGGGGTAAAGACAAAAATATTTCGTCTTTTTCTCCTAATGATCGACGACCCACCACCCTCACTGTCTCACCACCACCACAATCTACCAATCAGTAACCCTCCCATTGCGGTCACCCGCTTCCCCTTCTCTTCGTCACCATACCCTCCTCCACTGTAACCACCATCGTCCGTAGCTAATGATCGCCACTCTCCACCCACATGGACGAAAATTGTCCACCGTCTCCATCACCCCTACTTTTTCCATCTATAACCCTGCAATCTCCATCTCAACCCCTGAAACCTCCATATCCGCCCCTTTCTCTTCTGTCGGTACCAAATTCGTGTTAAAATGCATACCACGAGGCATTCTATTTAATAAATGAAGTTTGAGCACCAAATCCATAAACATCAGCATACCACAAGCTTTAAATATTATCTTTTGTAATTTATGAAAACTACATTGGTTTAAATGAAATATGGAAACACATTTTACTTGAAAGTATTTTCCGAAAACATTATGTGTATACATGAAAATCTAAAGTCGATGGAATCTCATAACCCTATGTCATTTTAAACCCCCACACCCAATCACATCACTGCCCTTCGTCGTCTGTACCATCTTGTGTCATTGGCCCCTATCATTTGATCTTCCTCCTTTTTATCTGATTTTTTTGTCTTTCGATTCTTTTTCTTTTACAACATATTAATGGGGTATGTATAAACAGATCAAAAACGAAAAAAATTTGAAAATTAAAAAAGGGAGATCGATGGCAGGTGCCTATGGACGATGATGGAGAGCGGACGACAATGGAATGACGAGGGAGTGTGATGATGTTGGTTACAATGAGTATTTATGACGTATGATTTGAGAATGATAAAACTGATTTAGGGTTTTCATTACTTTAAAACTTCCTACCGCTGTTACTGATAATTTTTTTTGGTTAAAAAGATGTATGAACCAATTTCTAAATGGTCGATTGTTTGTTTATTAAAAAGATTTTCAGGGACTTAATTTTTTAAAGTGAAAAAGGTTAATGGTTTTATTTATTTGAAAAAAAATAGTTCAAGGACTTAATCAATCAAAATAGAAAAGTTTATTGGGTTTTTTTGAACTTTTCCCATAAACATAATATAAAATATTTAAATTTTATGATAAACAAATAAATTAAACTGCTCTTAGCAAGAAGTTAAGGGTCTTGTCTCTCTTATGGAGGTTCTTTCTTTGGAAATAAGATATCTGATCATGAATCTTGTAGAAATCGAACCGTGATGGAAGGAGCAATACGAAGACTCAGTTCTAGAATTCAGGATAAGTTTTTAGATAACGATTACAGAATTGGTAAGGTACAAAATGTGTTACATATGTTAAAAATGCATGAACACATTTTCTTACATATATGTGTGGATGTCGTTGTCTCAAACAACTGGAGTGAAACTATAAAACGTTCGTCCCATGACCCCTTGTGAGGCTGTGATGGTCTACATGATGTTGCCGTAAGAACAGGTTTGTAAGTTTTTTAAGCTGAGATCGTAAAAGCACGCAAGTGGGGTCAGTTACTTTGTGACTTCAAACCCGTGAGAGTAAGCAAGTGGATCGGACGGATTTGTGAATCAAGTTAACTGTGATATTGAAATTGTGGGATGTTACATATTAGGAAGATTAAGTTCAGGGAATATGAGTCCATCGATGCACAGAGTTGGACCGAGGAAATATTTCCCTTAAGAGAATTTGGCATGACCCATACGAGGAGTGATAACATTAAGGTTATATTTGACAAACTAGTTAATAAGTTAACTGTTAGCCGAAAAGTAGCTGATAAACTGATCAGGTTTGACAAAAAGTGGTTGATATATATAAATTTACCAAAAATTTACATGTTAAAAATTACTCAATTCTAATATTATATAATATAATTTAAACAAACAACTAACTAATACATCATTCGATATATCTATACTATATTATAAAGCATTTAACAAAAACTCTTAAAAACCAATTTTTATGCATAAAGTACTGTTTATTAATGCATATTACTTACAACTTAAGATTACAAGTAGATTGTGCATAAGTACAACTTATTAGAGCTCCATATCTGAATTCGTGTAACTAATTGCAGATAAACATAATCAAATACATGATAAACATCTCGTTTTAAATATAAAAAATCTAAAATATAATTAGGATAATCATAGAATTCTAACAGAATACTGAAAATTATTATCTTTATAAAATGTTATATTA